AGGGCCTAGTTTCTATTCATGAAATTTTCCTTTTATTTATTTTCCTTTTAATTATTTTCAAGCCACAGCCAAGTGATCAGTCCTAGCCTTAGGCACAGACGACCGATGTGGAAGTCCAAAGGAAGTCTTATGCCAATTATTTTAAGACCACAATTGGTTTAAGAAGATAAGCCTGAAGGTAATACCCAGGTGTTGGGCTCTCTGCAAGCTTGCTTGTAGTTTCGTGAATATTTCGATGTTTCTCCCCTCCCACACAGAATGTCGTCTAGCTGATTTTGGAATGTACCCATAGATTTAGAAGGTTGTTTCATCAAAGAGGACTTGAAATGACTTGACAGAAAAGATTTTTCAGATTTCCCCTCCCAGTGGTGGGCTAAAGGTTACTACTCCTTCCGATTTTGCGTCAAGTAAGTGCTTGTGACATAGGCCTAGACCTATTTTATCTCAAGCTGAGAGAAGACCGTGCAGTCGTGGAACGTATACTTGAAATCCTCAACAACTAGCCCTTTAGTTATCATTTTCCCTTAAATGAATTTGTTTGGAACGTGTAGATCGACACTGGTTTTGACTATGTCTAGGCTAGTTCATCTCTCGACGTCCTTCAGAATACCGGCTTTGATTGTAAAGAGTGGGGAACACCGTGTCGCTGGCTCGCCTCGATAACAGTAGTAGGGATTGGAGAGTTCTGGACCACACGCCCTTTTCACCCCCTTTCACACATCACACTCACCGCTCGCTACGCTCGCTCAACTTTTGACCCCGGCGCCGCCCGCTCGCTCGCTGGGTAAACAACTCGTGACTAGCGCCGGGGATTTCCACTTCACTGACCTTGAACTTTTGACCCCGGCTGTAAACAACTCGTGACTGGCAATCACTCGCGAGAAAAAATTGATAAAAAAATAATAAAAATACATAAAAATAAATGGTAGATCAAACTACAAACGTGAATTGTTATTTTTGCAAAGACACGAGTAATTCGGTTGACTTGATAGATTCGTACGATTGCTCTCGTTGTTTTAATTCAAAAAGTTTACGCAAATGCATCGGTTGTAAAGAATGTCGCAATTGTCACGAATGTCAAGACTGCGTCAGATGTAAGTACTGCTTCACCAGCGACGATTGCGGTAGATGTATAAATTGCGTGGCTTGTTTTAATTCATACGACTGCAGAAATTCGAATGCCTTGGACAGTTGCGAGGACTGTTACGACTGTGTCAATTGTATCGAGTGTTTTGGTTGTACGTACTGCACCTGCTGCGTGAATTGTGACGAGTTGGAAGGAATGGATCACGTGGTGCTCGTAGACGGCAAGCATAAAAAGCTGAGGCACGCGCGAGAGAACGAGTCACTGCCCGATTCATCGACTAAACTCGACGCGGACTTATACAAAATTGGATTAATTATTGAATACAACGCTGACGTCGAAATCCCGCCTGAATAAAAATGAGAAAAATTTTAGAAACCTAATTATAAATAGAACATGTCAACTCAAATATATATCGTCTCAAATGACCACAAACGTCTAAATGCCGGCAACAAAAACCCAAAAATTACCTATGGCCCCTTTGACTCTGAAAATTTAGTCATTTTAAGACCTACAAAGTGTTCTTCTAAGATCGCTTATCGCCACGAGGGGCAAAACAAACGCCTGTTGATTAGACTCGAAGACCCTTGTTACGGAGTCAACCCAGTTTACAAATATGGTACTAAGGAACCTACTGGTCAAGACCAAATTTGTTATCAGATATCTCCCGAGACTGAGTCGTTGCTATTACGCGTAAATGACGAAGTTTATAATTATTTTAAAAACTTAACGGATAAGATGATGGAAGATCTTCCCGTGATTACTCGTAACTCTTTTAAAGTGTCTCAAAAACTAGATGACATACCCGATAGGATCAATTGCTTAGTTAAACCGGCTTACAC